ATTCTGAGCATCATGTGCAAAGTCAACATGCATATCTGTAGACCTACTAGATGTATCTGGATACTCTGTGAAATAATACGTGTCCTCATTTCTTCTTTCTAAATTGCTTGAGCTTGCTTGTCTCAACGTGTTTGAGGACATATGTGGCAAAGCAACCATTTCATTGGTAGTTGGTGTACTTGTGGGTATCCGATCGCTGTTCTCAAAATCATATTTATCGCTACTTCTGATGCTTTGCCTCTTTTGAAAATTTTCTTCTGGTATCACAGTAGACTTACTTGCTTCACGTATCGATGATGTATCCTTGAATTGTGATGCAACAGGACAGACCTCCATTTTGTCACACGTTTCACTGATTCTTTTTCGCGTGTTGATTTCCTTGTCACTTTCAGTAATAAGTTCTACAATTGCTTCAGGATCAGTGTTTGTCACTTCGCATATATTATCATACTCCCTATCGTCTGAAGGTAGTGTCAGGATATTACCGAGGCTTTTCTCAATATCGTCGTTTGATGATGGCTGTTGACCTATATTTAAAATGTGTGCCTGATTATGTTCGTTTTCGTTTATCTGACTGTCAATCTCACTAACTGATAAGGGAATATCATTGTAGGCTCTGATTTGCTCAAGAGTTGATGTTTGTGATTTGGCAGTGTTATGTTCAGGTGAAGTAGAAATTGTACCCAAAAATATATAAGCTGAGAAAAAAATATCTTGGATAAACTTCTATATCTCGAGCAACTAGGAACGTTTTACTAAAACACATTTGGTTCAATATCATTATTTTCACGAGTTGGAGCACCCTGGATACGAAAACATTAATAAAAAAAATAATACTTATAATTTAAAATTCCCAATTTCCACTTACTTTTTTCTAGACTCAAAAGGCATCTTTTTCTCAATAACTTTAGAGGCTGAAACAACCTTGTCGTCAGATACAGTTTTGTCAGAAGCAATTGTATATTTGTTATCATTGTACAGACTAGAATGTACTATGGTAATTTCATTTCCATTATCCAAGTGACTTTGTGCAGATCCGGATGTATTAATTATGTCCCCATTTCTGATATGTTGCTCAGATTTCAAAACTTGTCCAGTATTCTGAGCATCATGTGCAAAGTCAACATGCATATCTGTAGACCTACTAGATGTATCTGGATACTCTGTGAAATAATACGTGTCCTCATTTCTTCTTTCTAAATTGCTTGAGCTTGGAGAGTTATTCAATGTTTCCAACGTGTTTGAGGACATATGTGGCAAAGCAACCATTTCATTGGTAGTTGGTGTACTTGTGGGTATCCGATCGCTGTTCTCAAAATCATATTTATCGCTACTTCTGATGCTTTGCCTCTTTTGAAAATTTTCTTCTGGTATCACAGTAGACTTACTTGCTTCATGTATCGATGATGTATCCTTGAATTGTGATGCAACAGGACAGACTTCCATTTTGTCACACGTTTCACTGATTCTTTTTCGCGTGTTGATTTCCTTGTCACTTTCAGTAATAAGTTCTACAATTGCTTCAGGATCAGTGTTTGTCACTTCGCATATATTATCATACTCCCTATCGTCTGAAGGTAGTGTCAGGATATTACCGAGGCTTTTCTCAATATCGTCGTTTGATGCTGGCTGTTGACCTATATTTAATATGTGTGCCTGACTATATTCGTTTTCGTTTATCTGACTGTCAATCTCGCTAACTGATAAGGGAATATCGTTGTAGGCTCTGATTTGCCCAAGAGTTGATGTTTGTGATTTGGCAGCGTTATGTTCAGGTGAAGGAGAAATTGTACCCAAAAATATATAAGCTGAGAAAAAAATATCTTGAATAAACTTCTATATCTCAGCAACTAGGAACTTTTTACTAAAACACATTTGGTTCAATATCATTATTTTCACGAGTTGGAGCACCCTGGATACGAACACATTAATAAAAAAAAATAATACTTATAATTTAAAATTCCCAATTTCCACTTAGTTTTTTCTAGACTCAAAAGGCATCTTTTTCTCAATAACTTTAGAGGCTGAAACAACCTTGTCGTCAGATACAGTTTTGTCAGAAGCAATTGTATATTTGTTATCATTGTACAGACTAGAATGTACTATGGTAATTTCATTTCCATTATCCAAGTGACTTTGTGCAGATCCGGATGTATTAATTATGTCCCCATTTCTGATATGTTGCTCAGATTTCAAAACTTGTCCAGTATTCTGAGCATCATGTGCAAAGTCAACATGCATATCTGTAGACCTACTAGATGTATCTGGATACTCTGTGAAATAATACGTGTCCTCATTTCTTCTTTCTAAATTGCTTGAGCTTGCTGAGAGTTATTCAATGTTTCCAACGTGTTTGAGGACATATGTGGCAGAGCAACCATTTCATTGGTAGTTGGTGTACTTGTGGGTATCCGATCGCTGTTCTCAAAATCATATTCATCGCTACTTCTGATGCTTTGCCTCTTTTGAAAATTTTCTTCTGGTATCACAGTAGACTTACTTGCTTCACGTATCGATGATGTATCCTTGAATTGTGATGCAACAGGACAGACCTTCCATTTTGTCACACGTTTCACTGATTCTTTTTCGCGTGTTGATTTCCTTGTCACTTTCAGTAATAAGTTCTACAATTGCTTCAGGATCAGTGTTTGTCACTTCGCATATATTATCATACTCCCTATCGTCTGAAGGTAGTGTCAGGATATTACCGAGGCTTTTCTCAATATCGTCGTTTGATGATGGCTGTTGACCTATATTTAAAATGTGTGCCTGACTATGTTCGTTTTCGTTTATCTGACTGTCAATCTCGCTAACTGATAAGGGAATATCATTGTAGGCTCTGATTTGCTCAAGAGTTGATGTTTGTGATTTGGCAGTGTTATGTTCAGGTGAAGTAGAAATTGTACCCAAAAATATATAAGATGAGAAAAAAATATCTTGGATAAACTTCTATATCTCAGCAACTAGGAACGTTTTACTAAAACACGTTTGGTTCAATATCATTATTTTCACGAGTTGGAGCACCCTGGATACGAACACATTAATAAAAAAAATAATACTTATAATTTAAAATTCCCAATTTCCACTTACTTTTTTCTAGACTCAAAAGGCATCTTTTTCTCAATAACTTTAGAGGCTGAAACAACCTTGTCGTCAGATACAGTTTTGTCAGAAGCAATTGTATATTTGTTATCATTGTACAGACTAGAATGTTCTATGGTAATTTCATTTCCATTATCCAAGTGACTTTGTGCAGATCCGGATGTATTAATTATGTCCCCATTTCTGATATGTTGCTCAGATTTCAAAACTTGTCCAGTATTCTGAGCATCATGTGCAAAGTCAACATGCATATCTGTAGACCTACTAGATGTATCTGGATACTCTGTGAAATAATACGTGTCCTCATTTCTTCTTTCTAAATTGCTTGAGCTTGGAGAGTTATTCAATGTTTCGAACGTGTTTGAGGACATATGTGGCAAAGCAACCATTTCATTGGTAGTTGGTGTACTTGTGGGTATCCGATCGCTGTTCTCAAAATCATATTTATCGCTACTTCTGATGCTTTGCCTGTTTTGAAAATTTTCTTCTGGTATCGCAGTAGACTTACTTGCTTCACGTATCGATGATAGTAGGTAGGGTTTGTCTGTTCTAGAACGCCCTTGAGAGTCGACCTTGGGAGCCAACCTTGAACGCATATTTAACCTCGAAATGTGACCTTGAAATGTAACCTTGAAACATGGCCTTGAAATATGACCTTGAAATGCAACCTTGAAATATAGCCTTGAAATGTGACCTTGAATCGAAATATGACCTTGAAATATGACCTTGAAATGTGACCTTGAAGTCGTTAGTGGTAGACGGTATGACCTTGGAAATATGTGTTTAAATTAGTGCAGCGCTCGGAGAGGAGGCAGTCGTTAGCAGACAGCACGAATCAAACAATGAGTGCAAGACAAACATTTAAGTTGCCGACGGTGTGGGAGGGGAAGCCGGTGGCGGTTATACGCCCATTCAACAGAATACATCCTGATGAAGAAAATTGGGACGACCCATGGCCCAGAACGCATATGGGCACCACACCGCCGCATCAACCATCTGAGTCCAGAACACCTATGAACACCACACCGCAGCATCCTCCATCTGGGTCCCGAACACCCATAGACACCACACCGGTTAGCCGATATGGTTTCAGGAATCCGGCGCCGGAAGTGGTAGTGGAAGAGAATTGGAATGATGAAGCAGGTTCTAATTCGAATCAGTTGATTCAGGTGCCCATGCAGAGAAGTATACCTCCAGGCATGGGTCGTGGTGCGAGACTAAGATGGATTATACAGGAGAGAATGAGATTGCGACAGGTGCAGCAGTGAAGGAAGCAGGGTTTCAGAGGGTGGAGGTATTGTTGGCAGCGGAAGCAAGGTTTAAGTGAGTGGAGACAATGTTGGTAGAAGGAAAAAGTAGTGGGGTGACTAAAAAGTGCACCAGCAAAAGTAACATGTGCAATGAAGGTGAACATATAAGTATTATTCCAAAGACCGTATCCTTCAACGAAACAAAAAACAAAGTACATATCATATATGCATGGCAATATGCATATAGAGAAGCTCGAAGAAGTAACGGGGAGATGGCAGATAGATGTAGGTTTCAAAGGCGAGTGCAACTAGTCGAAGAAGTGTTAAAAAAATACTTGACAGTAGATTATAGGCAAACAGTGTTTACAGAAAGGTTCAAAGTGTAAATTATTAAAGTGGAGGTATGTCTGTGATATGTATAAAAGTAGTAAGAAGTAGGTTTAGTAAAATTTCGAGTATGTAATGTAATGTAAAAATAGAGGGGAAGAAGCAACGCTTTGATGTATTTATAAAATAATAAAGATTGTAAGATAGGAATATTGTGTAGTGTTATGTGGGAGGAAGTGGTAAAAAATACATTAAATGAAGAAACATATGTTTATTGACAAAAATTATGACATGATGAAATTTTCATACAAATAAAAAACGTTAGACATCGCACACATGCAAATATCTGTTGTATGGTGAAGGGGTGAGGCGGGGCTGCTCTTCAAGCTCGATTATTGGTTTGCTGGTGAAGTTTCTCAGGTAGGCAGCTTTTTCACTTCCTTTCACATAAATTCTGTCTGCCCCATCCGCAATATGTTTGATAATGTTTCCAAACTTATGTAGGGGTGTAAACCCTGAATTCCAGGAGATACCATGGTAATTATCAGTCAACCACTTCGCCTGAATCTTCAACGGTGGTGGCAGCAGATCCCAAGGAAAAGGAGCTTTGAAAATATAATGACATAACCTAACACCATCATAGGCGCAAAATTCTTTTGCGAGAAATTTATTATTTTCAATTTTAAATCCTTGAACATCCAAAACGACACTCATATTTGTAAGTTGGAGAATTTTGTATATAGAATGCGTCTTTGACAATAGGAATTGAGTGCTTCTTTCAAACTTTGCAATTTCTGATAATACTCTCTGAGAGCTTGTCTGTAGGATGATGTCATAATGAGAATGAAGGAGATTTAGTCTGAACAAAGATATTTATATTGTGATTGGTCATGATTGATTAAGCTCTATCGCTGTTTAACAATTTTGGTTAAAGGGTTGTAGGTGAAAACGCGATCGTGTAGGATGAGACAGTAAGCAGATGTTTCCGGAGGAGCATTTTCACTTGTCTCAAATTCAATTCGCATAACCACCGATCCAGATTGGATACTTTCCTTCTGTTTAGAGCAATCAATATGTGTGATAGGGGCAATAGAAAGGAAATCTTTTGGGGAAAACAGAGGTTCATTTTCACTCTAATAATGGGAGGAGCGGAATTTTGAGTACATTTCATACAAGAGAGCAAATTTTTGGTTTTTAAAATCCAAAAAGAGATCATTATATGGGAAGCGGTCGGAGTTGAGGAAAACCCGAATATTGGTCAACTTGCAATGATCAAATTGTGACATATTGGAGGTAGATACTTGTTTTTTATTAGTTTGAAAGGCTAGGACAACATGTCTAGGGGTCTCAAGCTTCGTTGTAGTTTTGACTGGCCAGGTGTGACGCGTTGTTTCAGGGAGTGATGGATACTCTACTAGTTCCCAACTGCGAAAATATAGTGGAATTTCCATGTTTTAGTTGAGAATTTTTGTAAAAGCTAGTTGCTGAGGAATGTCAACAGATACGTGGGGTACTCTCCACTGAATCTTATCAATCCGAATTTTTGGTTGTTCGGATGTAGTAGTTGCTACAACAGCATCAAGGTCATGACTACTACGGATTAATACTAACTCCTGTTTCATATTGAGGAGAATTTTTCGATAGTCTTCAAAGAACCCCTCCACATGCTTAAAGGAATACAAACATTGAACTTGCCAGACTCAGAAATAAAAGTGTCTTTTGGGAACCAGCCAGCATTTTGCAAGCGTGAACTCTCATTTTCATTAAAAGACAGATACCCTTTAAGGGTGGAGGTAAGGCCAACATTTCGAACGGAATCGACTACAACTCCGTTCAGTTCATAACGGAGCTCACGGAACAGAAAAGCAAAAGCGTTATTGATTAATTGCAGAGTTGTAACAGTAGTTCCATCAGCGTTTTTAGTAGTAACAGCAGTTCCATCGGCTTTGGTTAATTCTCCTTCGGGATACAAAAGACTTTGTGACGGGATGGTATAGGCATCTAGTTCTTGAACAGCAATGCGAATTTCATCGTTGTAGTCAAAGTTGGAATTGATAAAAGGTTGATAAGTGTGATACTCTAGTTCTGTAATAGAATTATCAACAAGAGGTTTTTGTGTAACGTTGAGAATACTCATCCTACAACACTTGAAAACCTAGATTTTCCAAAAATTTTCTATTATCGTTAGTAAGTTGCAATGTTGATTGTTGTCGAAATGATCTTCTGCGTAGGCTTACCACTAATAGATGGTTTCGACTGACCTCGCTTTTTATAGGGAAAAGAGATCGGAGGCGCGTAATATCTAATGCCCATTGTTACCGGATCGTAAATGAAGTCGAAGTGTAATGGTCTCGTTACAAAAATTAATTATGTGACCGTCTTGATCAACAATGTTGACGGTAATGGTTGTGATTGCTTTAACACTCACTGGGAAATATAAAATATTTTGAGGTGATTCAACGATTTTATACCCGGGCGAAACAGAGGGAAAAAATTGATGGATAATGTGGCTTGGCACACCGTTGGAATATGAGCCTGTGGCTACATTGCAAGCAACACATATTGAATTCACTTTCAAAATTTGCACAGGAAAATCAGACGTATGTCTAATGATTGGGTCAAGACGTCGAGGTTGAAATCCGAGAAGGGATGCAATGGTACCATTCTGTGAAAAATCAATCGTAAAATTGGCTTTGAGAGAAACTGTTGTGGAATTCATATGAGGTGTAATGCTAATAATTTTCCCTTCTGGGAGATTTTGATCTAAATAATCAATAATATCTCGAATTTCATATGCGCCTGTAGGAAATGTAAGTAGTTCATTGTCACATGGAAACTTATTATTAGTTTCGTCTATATTGGGAATAACATTGAAGGATTCAAAGTTGCACAACCCGATTTCATAGTCCACATTATCATCAAGATATAGCGGGGGATTAAAATGTGATTGGAGAGTGGAAGAAGTTCCCGACAGCGTAAATGTGAGGGACGTCATTACTGTAGAACGTTTGAATTGCAACTTCTGTATTAGGAGTAACAGTAAGAAATATATAGAAATTGTAAGCATAGCTGTCCACAATTGTGAGCATTAAACTATTGTATTGGAGTATAATTGTATACAATGCGAACATTTTTATCACTGCTACCAAAATATCTTATCAGCTGCAGTGGAGGGCGCAGATTCCCATATGAATCAAAGTATGAGACAAGATTGCCATTTTTCACGTATGCAACCCAATGAGTCCCGTCGCCAGACGAGTCATCCAAATTAACAATTCCACTTTCACAAGTCTGTATACCCTTTGGTAATTGATCTTTCATGAATACTCCTCGAAAAAAAGGAATGTTAAGTTGTTTTGCAAAGTAAAGTAGTTCAATATCGGAAAGCGCATGGGATGGTAGGTGCCTTAGCAGTTTTTTTTGTACGGTGCTAAAAAAAACCCTTTCCCGTGGGAGAAACCTTGCGAGAGGCTTCTAAAGCCAAGTTATGACGCTTCTGTTCCGCAAGTTGTGACTGATTGGCTTTAGCATCATTGACAGCTTTTGCAATGGAGGCAGCACCACCTCCAAGAGCTCCAAGAGCCCCGAGTATAGGTAGAAGTAAAGGTAGAAAGCCACCTGTTTTCGGTAGAGGCAGAATCCGCAAACGTCGCTTGGAACGTTGCGATTTTGGTGATTTTTTTCGCAAACCCTTTCCCATCTTGTTCAAACGTTTCTTTCTTTGTTGTGTACGATGTTTTCGCAGGCCAAAACCCATCTTTTTTTTAGCTTTCATTGCTCCAGCAACTCCCAAAGCTGCCATTCGTTCTCCAAAAGAGCTGTCGGATGCGAAGGCTCGCTGTATAGCTTGATCAGCCAAAAGTTTGTCCGCTTGTTGACGCGCAGTGAGATCTTTCTGCTGAGAATAGAAAATGTCTGTTGTTTGCAAAATTCGTCAAGTGGATTTATACCAACATCTCCTCGTTGAAGACGCTTTTGCAGTTTGGTTGACGGGCCACAGAAATTGTAACCTGGGATGTGGGCTTCGAAAGGGAGATTTTCTATTACGTTGGAAATGAGGCCGCGACCTCGCACGATCGGTGTCTGCTGGAAAGTACGTGTCATGGTGGAGTACACAATCATTATATACTCTTATTACGAATAGAGCGGGAGGTACTATATATAGGAGTCCATTTGGATGGCTACTAGTAATCACACAACATCATGAGAATTGAGCAGACGATACCAAAGCTTCAGGTAGATAATTACGATGGAATAGTGCAAGAAAAAACGTTCCGAAAACATGGAAGTGTGTTCAATGGTGCTTCTAAACGGGCTCTAATTGTTGGTAATAGTGGTGCTGGAAAGACTAATATCATGATCACCCTATTAATACACCCTCACGGATTACGATATGAAAATGTCTATTTGTTTTGTAAATCACCCTACCAAACAAAGTATCAATTTCTTCGCTCAGTTTTAGAACCTCTAAAAGAGATAGGATATTACGAGTACACGAACGGTGATGATATTAAGCCTCCAGCGGAAATCGAATCAAATGCGATTATGATTTTTGATGATGTTGCATCATGTAATCAGGATATAATGCGTCAGTACTTTAGTTTTGGGCGACACAAAAATACAGATTGCTTCTACCTGTGTCAAACATACACAGCAATTCCCAAGCAGTTATTAAGAGATAATGCAAATCTTCTCATACTTTTAGCACAGGATGCATTAAATCTGAAGCATATTTACGATGATCACATTAGCTTGGATATGTCGTTTCAACAGTTTAAAGATATTTGCTCACTGTGCTGGCAGGAACCATACGGTTTTGTTGTGGTTGATAAAGATTCACCCAAAAATAATGGGAGGTATCGGAAAGGTTTCGACAAGTATATATACCTATAGTGTGGTATATAAAGAGCGTGTAAGATTAGCAGTACCAGTGTTACGCCAGCCTCTC